AGACGTTGCAAATCTGCAATTTATCCTTTCGGTGCATTTTTCAGTTGCATTTTTCTCGTTCGAGCACTCGCGACCACGTCGTTGCAGCGTGTGCGTGTAGACAGGGTGTCCCAAGAGTTAGTAAAAATCGAGAAATATTAGGTCTACAGGAAAGTTCTGTCCGATAGTGTCGCTTCAAGTTTCAATCCATACGCACATGTTGATTCGAGACATATACGACTATCTCTCTTTATCATCGCATTTACACGCATGTACTCTCCTAAATAAGCTGAAACAAAGATGTCTCGTGTCGTTATTAAGCGAGACGCGATCGTGAAAACATGGCTACCGATGATAATGCCAGACCACATGCTACTTTGGCGACTCGTCGGAAAATCGCAGAGCTAGGCTGGCAAATTCTGTCGCATCCACCATACTCCCCAGACCTAGCACCCTCCGATTGTCGCTTGTTTCTCTCTTTGCAATACTTTTTACAGGAACAAAAATTCAAAACCGAAGCTGACGTCAACCAAGCAACTAGTCGAGTTCTTCGCCTCTAAAAATAAATCATTTTTTAACAATGGCATTTACAAGTTGCCATCACGCTGGCAAGAAGACATAAGTAACGATGGAAAGTATATTCTACGATAAATATTATTAAATGTACGAAGATTGTGTTATATTACAATTCAAAAACGGACAGAATTTTCCGGTAGACCTAATACAACGTCCCCAACTACGGTAATATTTCCCTAATCGACGCTCAGATTGGGCACCAAAAAAATAGACAATTTGGGAAGAGAAGATACGATTATTCGAGCCTTGCAGTTATATGCATATTATACTTGCTAGTATATTCTACAATAAATATTATTAAATGTATGAAAATTTTGTGTTATGTTTCAATTCAAAGACGGACAGAACTTTCGGGTAGACCTAATATAAGGAAATATAATACCATATTCGATCGAACCGAGAACAGCGCTATACTTGCTAATGAGAACAAGATGTGAGTTCGCCGGGCCGAGACCGTACCGTGAACGGTACGATAGCGTGTTTCGGTGGCGAGGTTTCCGCGGCGCGGAAGCATCGCAAAGCGGGCCACGGGCCATACTCGCGAGTTTCCGTAATATTCACGCGTGCCGTGTAATCGCGACGCTATCAGAGAATGCGGCAGGGCGCGCGTCGCGTCGACGCTCAATTAGCCGACGTTCGGCGACGTCGCGCTTCGTCTAGACGGCTCGTCCCAGCAGCGTTATCCGCGACGCGCGTCATCCGGCGACGAGCGCGCGATTATTCAAATTGTCAGGACCCGCGTGCTCGCGTGCCACGCCGTCTCGCGTCCTCTACCCGGCCAGAGACGGGTTAATTCGTGCGTCACAGCCGGAATAAAGCACGACTGGAACGCGCGCGCGACGCGTGCTTAGAATCATCCTACCCGGTGACACGCCCCTGTGCAACACGGCTTTCGAATGGCAACGCTGCTGCTCGGTGGCGCCTCGAGACCCGTAATTACCCTCGTCTCAACGGTTAAACATGCCTCCGACGACGGACGGCTCCCCCTTTTTCCGACAGTAGCCGGGAGATCTTTGTTCGCTAGGCAGAAGCACTTTCGGAAACTGATTGGGCTCGTCGCTTCGTCCCGGAATGCTGAGCCAGGTTTAGTTCACTGTTACGAGTAGACGGCGGGTCTTTGGGCAAAATAAAACTTGCCTTTATCGGTTGCAAGATGCTCGACCTACGTAGACATTTATCTCTTGTCTTAATCGTGTTACCAAGTTGACAGTGGTAACATACCTTGATAGTAAATAGTGGAATAAATAAATAATACTAAATAAAATAAATACTAAAAATAAATATAAAATAAATACTAAATAAATAATACTAATAATAAATAATAAATAAATAATACCAAATAGTGGAAGTAGGAGAGGGTCTGGTTGAACGAGCATTGGCAATTCGTTACAGTATCATTTTTAGTACACCTTGTTACGAGTAGACGGCGGATCTTTGGGCAAAATAAAACTTGCCTTTATCGGTTGCAAGATGCTCGACCTACGTAGACATTTATCTCTTGTCTTAATCGTGTTACCAAGTTGACAGTGGTAACACACCTTGATGGTCCAAAATAAAATTTGGATCGAAACGTACCGAAATAGTGGAAGTAGGAGAGGATCTGATCAAACGAGCATGGACAATTTTTACGATATTTTTAGATACGGTTCCAGTATCATGTTTAGTAACCCGCATTTACAGAATAATACCCTTTTGTCTAAAAATATTAGTCGCGACGTTTCGAACGCTCTACTTCGCTTTTAAAAGGGATATTTCAGGATGAAAAACACCGAAAGGTGGAGGCTGCGAACAGAGCGAAGCAGACGCTCTGAACGCGGTGAAAGAGAGTCGAAACGGTCGCATCGTTGCGTAGAGATTACAACGTTTTCTTATTCAGAATCAAAGAACAAACAACGCGAATCGAGCACTCCTTCTCGACTCACAATTGGCATGTCGTTCGCGAACGAAGCAAAATCAGGATCGCTCGGGATGTTGAAGAAGTTTCACCGGTTTTCTATCGAAACCTGCTTCGAGCTGCCAACGAACCGAACCGAATAATCTACGTCCTTTGACCCTGTAATACCGAGTCGCATTCGCGATGCACGCCGATCGTAACGCGGACCTCGAACGGTTTCGCATGATAAAATTCTGCGCTCGCGTTTCGTCTGTTCAAGAAATTCCTCGTTGTCAAAGGGTATACGTGCTCCTGCACGCTGTCATCTTCTCGCGACTAACAATGAGTTTGAAAAGATTGAATCGGCTCGGTGACTTGCGCAGATTGGCTGGCGAGCCCCCGGGCGGTTATGCGGAAAACAGCTGCAAAGACAAAGAAGTTCTAGTTACCGTGGCCGTAAAAGAAATCGCAGGACCCGAGGTTGGAGCGCGGAGTGTTAAAAGCAACGTAGCGCCGTCGGTAATGAACACGTAACGCTGTTAAGCGTCTCGAGATAGGAACGGGGGCGGTTTAAAGCAGGGTTTTATCCCGGCGGCAGCCGTTCGCATCGATTGCGACCGGGGATCGGATAGCAGCGTTATGCGCGGGGAACGAGCGACCGAATTAACACGGAAATAAGGGGAACGACGAGAAGGAGAATGAAACGCGACGCGAGGCGACGCGAGGCGAGACGAGGCGACGGAACTACGGGCAAGTTAGACGTCGTCGTCGACGGCTAATGCCGCGCGTTTCGCGCCGCGCCGCGCGCTCGCAAACTTTCTTGGCTCTAGCTCGGTCCCGCTCGGACCCGTTCGTCTCGCTCGCTGGTCGACCTTGTCGCGCGTTGCTGCGCATCCCGGGCTGAGTTACACTTCCGAATGAAATTATTTCGCGGCGTAAATGGGAATATACGGGGTCTTAGACGAGACGGGGCTGCCGCCGCGTCACGCGCGAATTATTTCGGATGCGGATAATTGTTTTCGAAAGGAGTCGCCGTCGGCGGTGCGTGAACGCTGCGAGATCTCTCGCTCGACAACCAGACGATGCAGTTTTCGAGTCGCCGATCTTCCAACTACTTGCCTCGAACGTTCTCTTCCCAGCTGAAACTGTTACATTCGCGGCGGAAAGTTATGCGCCAAAACGTTGCCTAATTGCGTATCCGCGGGGTGTCCCCGGGAAGTTACGCGAAATCGGGGAACGAGGGATTCCTGAAGTCGCGGCTTTGTTTTACGGGTTATCGATGGAAAAACCGAACGACCGATGCGAGCCGAGATCGACCGGCGCGTGCCGGTATTTATGCAAAATCCGGGCAAACGTGGGGAAAAAGCGCGATCCGAATCCTTGCGGATGCGCGGTCGTTGTCCGTCAGAACCGGACGGATTTCCATAACGCTCGCCGAGGGATTTCTTTCGCGGATCCGGCGCGCGCGTCCTGCTAACAATGTTGACGCTCCCGTCGTCGAATAACATCCGACAATATTTGGCCAGCGTGCCGTGCGGGAATTTCGCGAAAGAAATCAAGAAACTCGAACGAGATACGTTGGCCTGACCCCGGGCGATACAAACAAGCCACGCGGGTACTCGGCTAATGCCGCTGCAGGACAAAGTTTACCCACGATCCTGCACCCTCCGGCACACGACGGCTCCTTCAATTTTGGTGCACGAAACGACGCACGTTCCGGTCGCGGGATCTTCGGACGACGATAGCCTGCGATATCGGCTGGTTGGTCAGCGAAACGGACCCTTTCGGGCCGTATTCTATCGAATTAGTTCGATGAACAACCATTATGTTTCTCTTGTCGAGGAGACCTCGAGGAAACCTCGCGGAATGTTATCGTTGGACGCATCGAACTGCGTCGCGGATAATTTATACTATAATAATATAATATATATATAATACTATAATAATATATATTATATATAATATAATTTATACTATAATAATTTATACGTCATTAGTTCTATTATATAGGGCGTCCCAAAATTATGTCACTTCGAGCCTGAGATTGTTATCAGAGATTATTAGAGAGATTAAGATTATCAGAGATTACTACAGTAATGTCTCCCTAATTGACGCTCAGATTGTGCACAAAAATGGACAATGTGAGAAGAGGAGATACCCTTATTCGAGCCTTGCAACTCGTTTTTATAGTTACCCATTGTCAACAATTGTAAGAACGAGCTGCAAGACTCGAATAATCGTATCTACTCTTCCAAAATTGTCCATTTTTGTGGACAATCTGAGCATCAATTAGGGAGACGATACCGTAAATCACCCGAAATTATTCGAAGTAGGAGAGTCTCTAAATATATTTCGAAGATCGAGGGCTTCGATTTCTGATCGAATCGAGTGCTTCGACCTTCGCGATCGACTGGTGGTTAAATTCCTGCACTAAGAACTTTCTGCAGCAAATATAGAGCTTCGACGGATGAAAGTTTTTTTACGATTAATGTAAAAAAAATCCGGATTCCGCGCGAGGCGGATTCGATCTAGTTGCACGATCTAAGCGATGAATTCTGTTGATCTGCTGCAGGCACAACGATCTCCCGTGGAACATACGCAAGTTCCTGAAGAACCAGCTGAGGGAGTTCAGGTTTGATGACTTGAGGGACACCCATCCCTGGTCCCGGAGCGCTTGGAGCCACACGGACCTCAGAAGATTAAAAGAAGGAATGGTCGCAGCGCAGGTGAGTCCGCTAACAACCGAGGCAACATTAATCCAGCAGCTGCAGCACTATGATTTCATGAATCATAAATGCTGCGAAATGTATAGAGGCTGGTCCGCTACGAAGTAGCCCCGGTAATACAGCTAATTTCACAGCGAATTATTAACTTTCGACGCGACTCTCCGGCAATGTTTTATTTTGCACAAATCGGTGCAGCTGGACTTTCGCAGAAAAATTGATCGTTTTAATTAGTTAGCTGTTGCGACCTCTTTAAAAACTGTGTACCTAAAATATGTCGCAAAAGGTAGCCGATGACGAGTGTGCTTTTTCCATAGTAAGTATTTATAGTTTCTATTTGCTCGTTTTATTTCGTCTTGGCATCTCGCGACGGATACACAATTAACATAAATTATACACAAATTTGCACTGAATTCTAACAAAAATATGCATAAACGAGTCTCACAGTTTTATCGTTTAGATAAAAGAAAGTAGACGATCTGGTCGTAGGACGAATACATTCTTCGCAGCGGACTCTTCCGGCGATACCATGATAATCCCATAGGTATCTACCTCCGGATGGAGCACCCAGTTTATATTTGTCGCGCAGACAGTGCCGAATTACTCGGCGCAGAGGCCCGTAATTCGGAGGCGACGCGAGAAATCGGCGCGGCGCGACGCGGCGTTCAGCTGCAAATTTTCTCGCGGGGAGACTGTTCGCGAAGAAAGAGCCGATGCTCCATTTGAAACACTTTTCCGTGAAAGTCCTCCATTTCCCCGGGGCGATTTACGACGGGACGAGAATTACGAGCCGCCCCTTCGTCGCTCCCCGTCGAATCGATGGAACCACCCCCGCCGCGCCGCGCCGGACGGAACAAGATCGAACTCGGAGGAAACTTCACTTTTCCATTCCCCTTGTCTCGGCGATCGAACTATCGATTAATTATCCGCGACACGCGATTCTCCGGCCGACACGAGAAACAGAATCTTCTGTTCGCCGTTGTTATCTTCGTAACCCTGGATCTTTGTGCAAAATAGAGCGAAGTCGAGCAGCAGAAGTCGAACAGTTTCTCACAGTTAACTTGGCAAATCTTTCGGATCTGCAATAGGGATCTGCAAATTTTACCTAATAATTCAAAATATCTTCCGGAACGAAGATATCCTTTTCTGGTTCTCGAATGTCTCTTCTGCGTTCTGGTTCGCACAATATTCAATCTTACGTAAAGTAAAACATCTTTCGACAATTTTGTGAGAAACGCAACGGTCAGAATCGCATTCGTCGACGATAAATCGTCTTTCCGAGTGCTCCTACTGCTAGCTAAAATGGTTAAAAATTCGAGAGCATTCTGGAACCGTCGGTTGACTCTCGAACGGCCTACTTTTGCGACAAAAATATAGTCCAATATGTCTAGTCAAGTTTTTGCAACATATTTTTCAAGACACTCCTGCAGAAAACACGTTCTTAATGAAACACGCGACAATTTCAACGAACCGTCGTAAACTGAACAATCGAGTAACAATGTTCATCCTCTGGGTCCAAAGGGACCCGCATATTTTCCAAGGAGCTTCTTCCTGACTCGTCCGATTCTCCAAAGACCTCGACGAAACACGTGGAAATCTAAATCGATCGTCGAAATAAAAAAGAACTACGTGCATGTACGAAGAGCTACTTACCGATCGAAGGACGGAGATCGCTCAAGCGAGGAAATAAAACGGAAGAAAAATGGGGCTATCAATGGCACGACCGGCCTTTGTTCGACTCAGCCCGCGGTCTTTTAGCCGGTGATTTCATTTCTTTCTTTTTTTTTTCGAAACACGAAAACTGTTTGAAGCGCGAGCCGAGTGGTCGGCGAGCCGGCGAAGAAAAGATTTATTTGATCGGCTAGCCGGAAATAGCAGGCTTTCGTTCGTTCTCGAGTGTACATTCGCCGGTACGCGAACTTCTCGGCGCAACCTTTTCATCGGCCCGGTGGATACCGTTTTTAGCGGGGTTTCCGGTGAAAGGTGGACCGGAGGCCGTGACCGATCGGCGGCGTCGCGGCTGCGGAAGGGGTGCGGGAGGATGGCACGGAGTCCGGCGCAAGTTTTTCCCCTCTGCGGCGCGGTGCGGCGAGAAGTTGCGCGAAAGGATCGCTGGTAATGGAGGTCCGAGATTAATCCGACGGATATCGAGGGGGTGAACGACCGAAAGGACCCGACGCTGGGCGACGCTGGGCGACGGTAGTCGGCCCGGGGACCGCGCGATAAATTTTCGTCAGCTCCCGTAATCTCGGGCAACCGCGAGAAATTAATTGGCAAAGTTGCGGGCCGCGATCTCGTCGCGACGCCGCGCCGCGCCGCTCGGTTAGATCGCCGTCCGTTAATTCGATCGATTCCCGTGATTTTTTCGGCGGGATCGCGTGCCGCGAATTAATCATCCCGCTGCCGACAGCAGCGGCGACGGCGGTATGAACGTCGAAAACCGTTCCGGTCTCTTAATTAATCGCGGCGTGTTCGCGCCGCGCCGCGTAAAAACCGAGTCGGCTGTAATTGAAACATCGCGGGACCCGGAAGAGATCGGTGACACGCGATTCCCGCGTTAACCCTGCTTCCGTTTAACCTCCGGACGGCCGCGAGTAATCGCGGAGCTTAAATGCCGAAGAAAATTGGACTTCTTGGGCGAAACGATCGCTCCGCGATATCAAGGTTTTTGCGATTGTTCATGGAGCCTCGAAATTTTTCGAGGACGTCGATACCGTTTCGAAATAATTCGCTGAAAGATGCGCCGACATTTTTTCACAAGTACAATAAATTCTCCCTAATTTCCCTAGAACTTGTGAACGAAAACGGACAATTTGAGGAGAGGAGAAACGATTGTTCGAGCATCGCTCCGCGTTTTTATAGTTGTCGAAGATCGGCAACTGTAAAAATTATTATAATAAAATTAAAATATATTAAAATAATAATATTTTAAATTAAATATTAAATTAAATATTAAATATTATTATATATAATAATTAAATTAAAATATAATTAAGAAATTATTATAATAAAATTATTCGAGCCACGAGGCTCGAACAATCGTATCTGCCCTTCGCACATCGTCCATTTTTGTTTAGAAGCTGAAGGGAAATCGGGGAGAATTTTTACCGTAGTTGTGACAAAATATTTTCGCGTGCGGCGACGGAAAAACGCGTTCGCCAACGAGTCCCTTCGATATCCGCCGATCGATCCCCACGGATACCTTGGTATTACATATAACATCGCGAACGTTACCGGTGCACACGGGTCTCGAAAGAGCGGCACAGAAGGAACCCATTGATCCGAATTCGCGAGCGAGTCGCCCGAAGCAAGCGGTACTTGAGACGAAGATCTTGCGCGGCAAAGCTAAGCGAGCTCATTATCGAGATTAACATTTCCCGCGATTACGAGGCAGCCCTGTCCGCGTCGGCAGACAGGGTGTGCGTGGAATATCGATTTCCGATCTCGCCAAAAACAAGAGAAGTTCCTTCGTCGCTTCGCGTCGGCGTGCAACGGATTCTCGCGATTTCCGCTCCGCGAGGCCCGCTGCACGCAGGCGTTTGTTTCACGCTGCGGTGGCAATTGCGGCCGAAATGGAAGTCGTACACGCGCGTCTATTAATTGTGTCCTCCGCAAACTAATTGGCGATGGAGTAACGAAGATGCGTCCGTGCCTCGGTTTTATCTGTTCGAAGTGCGTTCGCCTGGGAAACGCGGCGATCGCGCGCGCGCTACACGAATGCGGCGCGGTGCTATTTTTTTATTTTAACAAACGCACGACATCCGATTTAAACTGGACTAGAGGCACAGGGGCGTCGTGCAAAGAACGGTGGTAAATTTGCAAACGAACGCGGCGTCGCGGCTTGAAAAAGCGCTGGCGTACAGCCGGGTGTGTTATCGTTGGCCTCGAAAGCGGCCGGCCTTGACGGAATTCGAGCTCGACCGCGCGAGAACGATTTTTGCCTCGTAAATCGAGCGAAAGGGTTCTCGAGAGGGTAGTGTTCGAGGCGTGTTGACATCGTTCCGCGGCGCGAAACCGCGCTCGGAAAGGATAAGGGTCGAGCGAGCGAACGACGGGCTTGCGGACAGAAGCAGATTACGATTCCGTCGGCGTGTATTAAAGCCGCTTGGCCCGGGCCTCCGCGCCCAGCCGCCTCGACGGGCACGTAATGAAGGTCTCCATCTGTGAAATTGCTTTCACGGCGAAGTTCGCGGACATCGCGACGCGACCCCGCGCCGCAGCGTTCGTATCGCCGAACGGTCTAGACGGGCGTATTTTTCACGCTCCGCGCGGGCCGAGGCGGGCCGAGGCGGGTCGGAGCGCCGGGTTGGTTTCCTTGGAACCCGGCTGAATGCCGAATTTGATGCGGCGCGGCCCTATACAGAACGCTGTTTCATTCAGACGCGAGACTTGGCTCGCGCTGAATAACCGATGTGACTCGATGAAACGGTATTAGTTGTATCGACTATAGAGCCGGCGCGGCACCGGTTGCAAATCCATCCGGCGCTGCGATATTAAAACTCGAGGTGGCGACAACCTTTTCACCGAACCCTGCCAGATGGGATGCGACTCGGCACCAATCTACTCGATTGATAATGCGACCAAGGTAACGGGATTTTTATACCGGGAGCCGGTGGTTCGTTATTTCGGCGATACTCGCTTCGGACGTCCAGCTTGGTCGCGGACGCTACCTTCGATTTTGTCGTATAACGTGGTTCGACGCTTCGACAGCTACGCCAACAACCTCGAAAATGTCGTAACATTAACCCTTAGGGGGCCAAAACTATTTATTTCCAGTTTACACACTGCCAAGTCCAGACTGTTTTTCGGACGAAGAGAAATTTTTTTACTGAAAATTTTTGTATCGAATATAGAGAAGAAATGTTCATTTTTTAAATAAAACTTCGTTGATATATTTCCATCGAAACAATCGTGCCTATTCTTCCGATGTTTCCTGCCAGATTTTACGGTTTTATTGATTCCTGTCGCGTGTGTGGCGGCATTGGACCGTTAAGGGTTAAAGC